GCGGGTGAAGCGAGAGTCGGGAAGAAGAGGTAGACGAGCTTCATGCAGGAAAATAAAAAAAAAGGGATTCGATCGTGTGCGAATTTCATCACGGGAGATGCTTTTCCAGCTCGCCCTGGAATCTCCGGAGCAGCGACGGCCCCTTCGACCCATCCTGCACGGCCCCTTCGACCCATCCTGCACGGAGGCCGCTCCCGCCTGCATGCGAAATTCCGCTGCTCTCGGCCCCAGCTCCTTCATTATCGGCTGTGTCGGTGCACAGCCCCAGTATTAGAAGGCTTCTGCAAATTAAAGGGGATCGAGGAGAAAGTGGATCGAAAGACTTTGGACGCTTTGGGACTCCATCCGCCGAAGAATCAGTTATGAGGGAGAATCGCTTCCAGACGTTTAAAAGGCGTTTTAAAAAAATGACATGCCGCATGACACTTTCTCTTTTTCGACTCCAAGGTCGCAGCAGAACGATGTGGTCAAGTAGCTGTATTGTATGATAACATTTAGAATAACTTCAGAATTGAGAACTAGAGAATTATGAAAATTTCTCTCGAGTTCCAGAATATTTACTCTATGGGGAATGGAAAGTGCGTGATGTCGCTTCTGCGAACGGCCTTAATTAGAGGTGCCTGTACGGACGAAAGGAAACATTGGGGAGCAATCTCGCCGAAAGGAACGATGTTGAATGAGCTCTACGCCTTGACTTGTGGCGACAAAATGAGCAGATATTGAAACAGACTCGAACCGTTGAGGTTTGGTATAGGTGCTGCCTGTTTTCATTCCAGTTCGACCTATAGGAAACATCGCATCGACGTTTCCACTTTTTCGGATTTTGAGTTTTTCATGGGTGTTCTTTCCGTCTCTAGGGGACATCGGAACTGATGAAATTCTGCACGCAACTCACCCAAAGCGGGCCAGGTCCTAAGCGTGGAAAGCCGAGGGGTCTGGAAATGATGGGGCTGGGGGGCGAGGGGGCTGGGGGGGGGGGGCGTCGAGACATGCCCCATCGATAAGGATGAATTAATTCATTAATGAATGCAGATTAATGCATGAATCGGTCGCTCGGCTCATGTTTACCGCGGGGTGCGATCTACGGGGCGAGGGGGGAAAAAGTGGTGTGGAGCATCCTCTTTCTATGGTAATTAAACTCTCGGTGGGAACATATAATTAGCCCGAAAATAAACGCAATTTGAATATTTTAATGCAAACCTCGACTTGGTTTTTGAGGGAGACGGAGAAAGCGGTGCCGCCCGTCCACTTCGCTGCCTCGAATGACTGTCCGAACAGATGGAACACGAACCGATCGGCCGAAGTACTGGAAGTACCCACGAGTACCAAGTACCCATCGGTTGGTGCCGTGCGGAGGCGTGAAAAAGATTTGCGACTTCTTCAGCCTGCATTTCCGCTTGCGCCTGCGCCTGCCGTTTGCACGGAACTCAAAGAGGCCGAAGTGTTCCCATCGAGCAGGAAATTTCGTTGGATTTCGTCTCGCCGAAGCGAGGCCAGGAACCTCGCCAATGTTTTTTTTTTTTTTTTAACGATCGCTTCGGTCGTTCTGATCTCTTGGGGTGACTTGTCGGCGCCTTCAAAGCAAAATCGATGTCATCTGTGCGGAGTGGAACCAACGTCGGCGAATGCGTCTTTCTTTGCTCTTTACCTTTTTTTTTAATGTATCTTTTTTTCGCGAAATACTTTGAAATGCTGTTGCCAGGCCGATCGGACGAATCCATTGTCTGCCGTGGCTTTCATGTTTCGCGAACGGGCGCAGTTTCAACGGGCGAACTCTTCTACTTGTTTCTTCTATTTGTATTGTTATTTGAACTCACAAATTGTGCCGGCATCTCTTCCTCGAATTTCCCCCGGGGCCGGTGCAAGCCTTCGATTGCGTCCGGAACGAAGGATCGTCGAGGAAAACGAGGATTCCGGAAAAGGGGTGTCGGAGTTGAAATCCGGACCGGAAATCAGGATCAACGTATCGGCGGAATTTCAGTTCAGAGAGAAATTTCGTTTCCGACGATTTTCCCTTCGACGGAATCGGTAAACTCGCGTTTTAGATTCGCAGCTGCGAATTTTTTCTACCTCGCACGAACTGTCACGGGGAGACGATCCCCTTCCGGTTGGCAACGGAGAGTGGAATCATTCGGCCAAAAAAAAAACAGTCTCGGATCGAAGGAAATTCACGCCGATCCAAGTGCGAGAATCGAAAGATCGCGCCCACGCACGCCAGACTAACACGCCCGAGGGCGAACACGGATGGAAGGAGCAGCACGAGGACGACGGACGTGCCCGACGAACGACGGACGTGCCAGAGGACGACACACGTGCGCGACAGTCGAGTCCAAGGAGACTGCGTCCTTCCCTCCCACGAGCGCATCACCTCAGAGGCCAGGCTGAAACGCGAGAGGAGGCTTTATTTTCTCCCTAAATGATATTCATCACTCTTTAAAGTGGAAGTTTTTCTTCGTTCAAGTCGAGAACCGGCTATCGGTTCGAAGTCAGGAAAATGATAAAAGAGGTACGAGAACCCCCATACCAGAAGCGATTAGAAACGTAGAGACTCTTCTCATTAGCGAGAAGGCTAACGAGGGGAAACTCCTCCAGGATCATTAAGGGAATCGATTACGTGGAAAATGGTTCACTCTAACTTGATGATAGTATTGGAACAAGAGGAAGCCCGTCGAAGAGGAAGTTGCTAGAACCCCAAGGGAGGCTCACGTTGCAGAATGACTTCTTTGTTGAGTAGCCAGTGGCGTAACCGATGAGGAGGGGGGGGGGGGGGGACGACTAAAACCACCAAAGTTCTGTTCTAGCCCCACCCTAACTCTGGTCTAAGGGAGTCCACCCCTCCCTTCCGTCCGAGAAGTTACTAGCCGCCCCCCTTTGGCGAAACTCTCGCTACGCCAGTGAATGTAGATATTGCATGGAATGCGATAAGTGGCGATGTAATAGGTGCCCCTATCGTGACTACCTTCAACTCTTTCCGGACAACGGTTTCTGGCCACAACATGCCGTATCTAACCGAGTGTGTCCTCCCGTTGTCCTAAAAGTGTTGAGAGGCTTTATGCCTACATTGGAGAAACGTGGCTGCAAACGATTACATGGTGGGGGAACGTGCTCTCGTAAGAAATTGATATCTTTAAGAGGGTAGGCCCATCATATTATACACGAAAGCTCGACTTTGACAGGACGTCGTAATGGACGAAAGCACCTATCGGCGTCTTCATCCGGACCTCGAACCTAGGCGACACAGTTTAATTTTGGATTGAACACTGCTTCGTTGGCATCACTGACAGTCGGCATGGCCGCCCAGAGGTGGACGTGGGGGCGTCAGGGGTTATCGGTCGCGTGCTTTCCGCAACTGGTTATTATCTCTTTCGGGGTGTGGTGGAGTTTCTTTTCGATTTTAACGAAGTCCCTTCCAGTGTGAATTTTGATTGGCGAAAGGAACTTTTCATGATTTTGAAATTTACCAAATTCGGCTATCGATTGGACCAACGGAAGAATTTACCGCTTGTAATATACGCCATATGTCTGTTACTGTCCTCATATGGCGTTGTGGATATAGTTCAGTCTTTGATGTTAAAATATGTGGTAGACTACAGTGTATTGAGGAATTTAGCTTAGGAGTGTAATGTAATGACTCATTTACGGAGGCATTGGTGTATCATATCCGTTGAGAACTTTGCGTAAGAACATGGTTCGTTAGAGTAATTTATACATGGTCGTTCAAAGCAGCCCTATACTTTTTAGGCTCGCTTACTTTGGTTGGCAGAAGTACGGTCATATCTAACAGCCGCTGAAGGTCATAACTGTTACATTAGGGCCCAATTCCTAAACAATATAACTTAGGTGTGGATAAATTGCTGATCAGCCACGGTTATCGCAATTAAGCCCGTCCTATAATCAGAGATCATTATATCAGTAAAGGAGAACAGAATATCATGCACAAGGCTTTGTTCTCTTCAATTTACTTGTCTTTTTGGAAAGATCATTGATAAAGTCAAGATAGGACTAATTGCATATCATTAATTGAGACCTAATGCTAGGAGTAGTTGTATTGTTCTGCTTTCAGACAAAAATTGTGCCTGAATGTGAGTCACTCATTTATTGATTGGGCCATCTGTTACTACTAGCCTGTATGAGACCCTTTCAGCATTCTTAAAAGTGATGTAATTATCCTTAAACTCTTCTGATAGTACAGTAATTATTATCATGCTGACTCTCATTTAAAAAAAGTTCCACTCAGATTTCTCTGTTAGGCCATCATGAGTTGGCTTTTTTCCCTCCCACTCCAATCATCTCTGTACTTGATCTGGTTCTGCCTGCCTGATCTCTTCCTTTGCCCTGCTCTACAAGCTTTAGGTTCTGAATTTGGACTCCAGGCCTAGTCATATTTCTGTTTTTCTGTCCCATGGGTGATATCAGAGCCCTAGTCTTGAATTGGTGAGATCTCAATTGGATAAAGCTTTGGTGTGGCATGTGCATATTAATTAGAGAGTTTTGAATGTGGACAACAGCTGGAAAGGAGAAAGCCAAAGGTATTGGGGCCTATGGCTGTTTTTTAGAGGCTGAAATCTGGTAATTATATCTTTCAGCTACCTGTTGCATAAGGTGAGACAAAGGCCTAATGTTGAGTCAGATATAAACTGAACAGGTTTATGTTTGAAATTCCCTTTTACTGATCACAGAGTAAATGGAGATCCCCATAATAATGACTAAAGTTTTCAGTTAGTTTCATTACGATTGATTCTAATAAGAATGGTGTTCATGCTCATCTGACTAAACTGACAGTCTCTGAGCTGTGTGATTATATATAGAAAGATTTACCAGTTTCATTTTAAAATTTTACATGCATAAATATGTCAGCTGTAGTGCCTTTGCCTGAAGTAAAACTTGTTGATGAGCCAAAATGTTAACAATGTTAATGTCAGCCATAAAATTAGTCTCAAGTTAAAGTTAACCCTGAGCTTATGAAGGTTAAACTTTAAAGATATTCCAATTTCTTTTTATTGCAGCTTATATAATGAGGGCCAGTCCTGCATCCTACAGGGGTGATTGTGCCTAAAGTTTCCCCTAGCATAATGATTTTGGAGCTTGCCTGCTTCTAATTGGACTCCAAACACACAGATTGTCTCACCACCTTGACAAGGCCAATTGTGCTAGCCCTATGACATAGCCTGACATAGAAGTCAAATGGCACATCCACATGTAGGCAAAGACTTTGACCATCTCCTCAAGTTGCTCATCATTGGAGACAGTGGTATGTTGATTTCATAAACTGATCATACATTTTTCAATGTCTGTAGGGTATGTATATAATCCTCAACTTGGCTAGTATTGCCTGGGCTAGTGATTTTCAGCCTTTTATCAGGAATGCTACACTTTTGGAACTGGAAGATCATGTGAATTTCATTCTTCTTCCATGAAACTCCATTAACAATTTTAAACATTCCACTGATTTTCAGTATTTTTTGACTCTCAGTATCCCTAGATTTGCATGAAATGTTTTATCTACATCCCCTTGGAGATGAGGCATTTATGAACTACTCATGAGCTGAGGGGTACAGGGTAACAGAAAGTGAGCTGTCAAGCCTGGGCATGGGGTTGATACTGTCCTTGGCTTGGCTGTTTGGTGGTGTAAAGTAATGGTTTTTCTTGTGTTTTCCCCTCAATGAACTTTCACCTTGTGTTCCAGTACATGCTCTCTTGCTTACTTTGCACTCATGCACTCAACCAGTTCAGAACCACACGTCTATCCACAATTTGCAAGGATGACTCACATGATACCTAGGCCTAGGTTTGAATTAAGGTAAATGGAGACTATTAAGTTGAGACATTATCATGATCTGCTTTTAGGATCTTTGCATTGCTAAATAAAAGTTTCACAATTCCCCTTCTTAGGCCTTTTATATTAGGCTCAGGTCTTGAGAAAAAGTCCTCCTAATATGAAGACAAGAAGTCTGGACTTATTGATATAAAAGCCTTCCATCCATTACTTACATGTTGACCTCCAATATGGTATTAAAGCTTTTTGTATTGTACACATTTTTTGCTGCCATAACTATTTCCTATGTGGCAGATTTTACATATACACTTGGTAAAATGTTTTTATATGAGCTCATTTGGAAGAAAAATTTTTAGGCTGTAGGTCTACCTTTTTGTTTTATTGGATAAGAGACTGGAACTTCTGCAGGATACTTTATGCCAGCATTTGATTTAATGCATGTCTCTGTTGCAGGAAAATGTTACTATTCAGGCCCATCCAGTCCTTACATTTTTTTACCTTTGGTAAGCAAGTGTATTCTGCATTTTCTCTGGAGGAAAAATGTAAGATCAGGCTTTATGCCTGATACCCTTTTCAACATTACTCTCAGCCACAGAGGGAGTGAATCATTCCATGTAGTTTGTTTGTCTAGGAGAGACTGGAAACACCTGTTTCCTTCTAGGGAAAAAGTATGGGAAGGCCACATTTATGCATGCATGTGTGCCTCTCATTTTTTTTGTGAAATGTATTGACATTGATGCGAAGTCTGGTGTGGCCACTGGTGCAGATGTTTCCATATTGGCTACCAATCCCAATGAATATCATTACATCCCTATATTTTATTTTCATTTGTTTCATGTAAAGGGTCTTCTTTCCTGGTGCAGAATTAATATTCTTTGCATGTTATATGTGATTGTTGAGGTATATACATCTTAAAAGACTACAATGAATAGACCCCCCCCCTATGGTAATCAATCTAATCATATTTTTCTAAATGAAGTCTTAGTGGAATTGTAGATCATGGGTTTGACTAATAGAACATAGGCTTATTTTTAGCCAATCCATTAGTAAATGCTATCCTTCACAGAAGCCTACCCAGTCCTGGCTTAGCATTTCAAAGAGCTTTCATGAAGTTGGTGCAAACTTAGTAATAAGTACATTGTGGTCCAAAATTTGCTCATTACTCTCATTTTGCAAAATATATAAGCAAATACTTATTATCAGTCAAAATTGTGTAATGTAAATTGTGTCAAAACTTTGTGCCTTGGATTTTTATCTAGAACAGTTGGGAGTTGCTAATGGCATCAACAAACTTTAACATCGGGTGCTACTTTCACCTTAACATTTCTGCATGTAGAAGGGGCATATTTTCAAGTAGATGAACATTTGAACATTTGACTGTGGATTTCCAGATTTCCCCTGAACATTTGACTGTGGATTTCCAGAATTTCTTAGATACTGCATCTCCAAGGAGATGTTTTGGGAATGATAAGGGAATTAGTGGGTATATGTAAAAAAAAATAATGTATGCTCCACTGGTTATGCCCAAACTTTTTACAAGTTGAAAAGGAAGATCAGGAAAACCTATGGTTCTTTCACTGGAGCCTATACCTATATGATATGCTGGCTACAGTTCAAAGGTTTCAGAAATGTTAATGTAGGAATGGTTGTTGTGTTGAAGCTTGTTGTTGCCTTTAGCTTTCCCATACTTTCAGAGATAGTAATTTGGGGTAACCAATTTTCTGAATTATGTTGTTCAATTCTTCAAAAAGTTGCTTCAATAATGAAAATTTATTAATAAAAATGATTAATAAATTTTAAATTATTTTGCATAATTCTAAACAGGTCCTAAAAATTCTTTTTAAGGATTCAGATTAATATTTTCTTGGGTTCTTGTGAATTTTTTTTTACAAAGAATGTCTGTAAGCAATTTTTTTTTGTTCCTGTAGAAATAAGACTAGACCCCATGGCCCCTCCTTCCCTCATGACTATAATGGTATGAAGCTTATATGATCATGTCATCCTCATGTTATTCGAATGTTGAAAATGACATCAGTATCTATGCAGAGAATTGGCTCTTGTATCACTTCTACAACATTGAAAATGCAAAACCTGCCTTCCTTTTGTGCCAAAAATGAAAAGAAATCCAGGGAAAAGTAAAAAAATGTCCATCTCAGTGCAAAATTTCAAGGATGTCAAAGAATAACTTCACATTTTTCAATTAGGGTAAATTGCACTCTTAATATGGGATGGGAAGGGAAAAAAGAAAGCTTCATATCTCTTCATATTCTCCATGCTGGTGCCAATTAAGACCTTTAAGAATCCTCAGCTTGTTCATCTTTCATTTTATTCTCATGTTTCCTATTTCTATTTCCTCTTGTTTTTCTTTACCAGCTCTGCCATCTTTTACTTGAATGCTGAGATGCTCTCAAACACCTTGGCCTCTGGATATTTTGCTAATACAATTGCTGCATTGGATTGTAGACTTCATGTGTTAACAACATGAGCTAATATTTGCCAAAAATGGAGATATTGTGAGAGAATTTTGCCTATATTCTTCAACCAGGGACATTATGCAGGAGCCCCTTCCTCAATCCTGATTTTTGTGCGTAGAAAAAATGTGTTGTCTGAGTTTGTTTAATGTATGAGTAATGCTCACACAAATTACATCCATAAACAATATTAGCTCTCATAAATGTTGCTTCATGTATGAAAATGTGGGAAAATCCATTTCTGAAAATGTATGTAGGTAACTGTGTATAACTGTCATGTAGAATCTTTCTGTATGGGTTGCCTTGCCAAACTCCAATCATCTCTCTGGTTCTATGAAATTTATGCAAAGACCTCACCTGAATTAAGTAAAATTAATGATATTGGTTCAAGATGATCCAAATATTTGGCATGGTCATTCATATGCTTGCAACATTTACTCCAATGTGTCAGTGCATCTATTGCAGGAGTTGGGAAGAGTTCCCTCCTGATTCGTTTTGCCGACAATACTTTTATGGGAAGCTACATCACAACCATTGGAGTGGACTTCAAGATACGGACAGTTGAACTCGATGGGGAACGCATCAAGCTGCAGATTTGGGACACAGCTGGACAGGAACGTTTTCGAACTATCACTTCCACGTGAGTTTCAACTTTCTGTAGTGTCTCTGGGCAGTTCATTTGTAAGTCTTGTTGATGCACAAAGAAGAGTGTTGCATGTGTCATTTTTGAGAACTTTAGTTTCTAAGCACTGCTTAAGTAATGGATGTCATTCCCTTTAGACTTCTGGGAAACTTGATCTATAATGGCTTTTACCTTTTCCCCCCTCCCCCCAAAAATATTATCTGTGTTCTTTGGGACATGTGTGAAAGAGGTACTTTAAAAACTGTCATGAAAATTTAATTGCCTTCTAGTTTTTTATACTAATGTACTGCACTGCATGGGTGGTTTTGACTTAATAATCATTCTGAAGGCAGCTACATCCAAACCACTGTGGTTTGGATGAGGCTGCCTTTTTATTGATAATGCAATGTTGAAGGAAGTGAAATAGGACAGGACACATTGAGTGAATGTGAATGAAGCCACAGAAAAGCCTTGTAGCTCTTTCTCAGTAAGTCCATGTGCTTCCCTTCCCTGGCCCCACTGCCTTTTTTTTCTCTTTTGCAATGGGATATCCAAACCTAGATTGTTATGTGCATCTTTTTGACATTAAAAATGCTTGTAATTGTTTGACAGCAGTTCCTTTTTCTAGTAATTCCATTTATTTTCTCACTGCTATCTATGGTTGCAGGAAATTCAATGATCTTAAATTATTCTCATTATTCTTATTAAATTATGATTTTTATAGAATGCAAAAGCAAAAGTCCTATAATGTTTTTTTTTCTGATGGGGATTGAAGTCATTGTCTTGGTTAGAGACTTTTCGTCGATATATGATATTGCAATATTGAAAAAAAAACTTGCAATGCCAATATCTGTTTCCATGCACTCAAGCTCTAATAATTATTTCTGATTGATGTAAATGAATACATTCATAAACCCATAATCTATATGAGAGTCTTCTTGCTTATTGCAGTTTTAGACTAGTGAAAGTAAAAAAATAGAAATCCACCGATTTTCAACTGGGATTAAATAGAAAAAAGACTAACAATGGTTTTGAAAGATTAATCACAGAAAATGAAATTGCAACCCTCTGATAAGAGAATGCCAATGAGAAGCAATGGAGGTTACCTCCTCACTGGGGAACATGTTTTTTTTACACACGCTGAAACAAATCCTCACCCACTTTCATTCAGTCTTGTTTCTGTTCTAGGCCTGATTCCACTAACCTCCTTATATCTTGCACCTACCGACCTTACTCAAATGCATCATGTGCACAGCACTTGATTCTTTTTCTCTATGCTTCATTGTTCATTTGAGCCTTTTGTTCCCAAGAATTTCATAGTGGCATCAACGGCAGTCTGAAATCTACAGTTTTCTCCCTCTCTAGCTAAAGGACACTTTTACATGCAAGTCCCCATACATTAGGCTTATAAAAGCTAATTTCGGCGAATACTCATGAAGTTCCACGTCCTGCGAGTCGAGTTTCCACCGGACGGTTTCAAAGTTTTTCATGCTTTCCTGCATGAGGGAGAGGCTTACATCGTGAGCATAGGCCTATATGTCTAGCGTTAGGACTGATTCATCCTGGAGGGGGGGTTAACGTAACAAACGTGCGAAGCACTGGAGGGAGGGAAATGATGAGGTTGACATGATGAACATTGAAGAGATTGCCATTGATGGGAGACAAAATTCCTTCCCACATTCACTGGGGCAAAGGATACAGAGATGCTAACTGCTTATAAAGGATGGGGCCTCTACTTTGCAAGCAACCACCTGCTTCCAGTCACAAGGTGGAAAAGCTTACATTTTGTTTTAAACCTTGTTTGATGAAAACATGCCATTCAGGCACGTTCGATCTTCCTATGAGAAAGATTTGAGAAAATTCATCACTTTCTCCACAGGCTTAGTTTTTGGCATGATTCAGGTGCTTTTCCAATATTGGTTATTGGTAAGTGATATATCGTATCTGGCTGAAGTAGCAGTTGCACCAATATTGACCAGTACTGATTAGCATTGAGGTATCACAGTATATCCAGCCTTGGTGGAAGGACTTCTTTCTTCGTTTGTTTTTAGTCATTCTTTCCACTCATATATATTCCATTAGCATCACATTTTTTTATTGAAGAAAAATAGCTGGCATAAGTCTGATCTTGTGCTCAGCATCAGCTTGGCATCATTTTTCAGAAGCCATGTGATTACTATTTGGTGACAGGAGTATGAGGGCAGCTTATTTTTCTGACAAGAAACACCTCAAAACAAACTCCAGAAGGTTCTAGGAACACCCAAGACCTGGAACATGTCCTTTGACGAATTGAATCTGTTAAGTAAACTTGACAGTAGTGGTGGTGAGAGGGAAATACAGGTTGTTCCAGATATCTCTGACAAATTTGTTTTTTTAATTAATCAAGAATGGATAATGTATTCAACCTGAAATTTGGGAAGAATTTTATGGAAACTTTGGAAATTATGTTGAAACACGCAGAATTCACACAGCATTACTTTTTATTCTGTTAATGCAATTTTTCAAATGCCCTCCATTCTTATTGATGTACTCTATGCATCAAACCAAAGCATTGTTCATTACTGACTGAAATGTATCTCTCTTAGTGGTGGTGATGAATTTTGTAATTCTATTCTTTAGGTCACCTGCACTCCTTGGATTTGTGTGATACATTTTGTATTTTTAGGAAGCACCAGAGAAAAATGTAATGGACTGGCAAATACCTGAAGTCTTGGGAAGAGGGTATTTGGTAAATGAATCATTTCATGATTTGGTGCACTCCCATGGTCCCATGATCAGCACACTACCCAGACTTGGCAGCCCCTAATATATTTTTCTATGGTGCTTCCTAAAAAGCAAAGTGTATCACACAAAACCACATTAACCCATTCACATTCAGTGACTTTCCCTTTAACAGCCCTGTAAATCCTGCTGTTTTAGCGAAACAAAGGTTATACCCACTGCAGCATGAAAATTACTATATTTCAAGAACAGGTAAGCCTTGTCAAATATATTTGGTATCAAATTCTTTAGGAAACTCTCACTCACACTCTGTTTATGCTCATTAGTCCCATCTATCTGATTGGAAAGAAAGTTCTAGGAATTTCTTGAATATCCAGTACAATTTTTTTCCAGAGCATGCTAGAATGTTCTGCGTGTGTTTATAAGTAGGTCGTGTCCTTCGGCATACAACCGTATATTATTACAGCCCTGGTGCTCTCCAGCCATGAACCAGCCCTACCCTCTTACTAAGGAGCAAGTTCGCCTGCTTCTTCTTTATGACTTC